AATAAACCAACGAAAGTCGCCAGATGTTTTCTAAAAGGAAAACGAAAAGACGCCAGATGTTTCTAAAGCAAAGCAAAAAGAAAACGCCAGCTGCTTAACGAAAGACGCCAGGTGTTTTCTAAAGCAATGGTTTTATAATCAAAACCATATCGATACAGGTTTGTTGTTGCCGATGCTCGTTGCCGTCGGTGTGTGCTCGTATAGATAAGGATGCCGAAAGGCGGGGGCGCAGGGCAGCGGTGGCGCGCGCTCGCAGACAGGACCCTGAAGTGAGAGCACGCGAGACAGAAGCGCGCTGGGAAGCTGCGCGACGTCGCCGCCAAGATCCTGCTGTACGGGAACAAGAAGCCACATCATGAAGGCAGCGTCGGCAAGATCCCACCATACGTGAACAAGAAGCTGCAGCGGCACGTCAGCGTCGGCAAGATCCTTCCGTACGGGAACGAGAGGCCGAGGCAGCACGTCAACGTCGCGAAGCAGATCTTGAAAACATTCGACAATGGAAAGCGGCGAGGAAGCGCGCATATCGCCAGGCGAATTAAGGGAAGAAAACTTCACGGTATTACTTTCAGGAGCTTCACCTAATCTCATCTTCATTCACCTCGTGGATCTGCTGTCATTTTTTTTCACGAACCTGCATGATTGCGCATACTGCCCGCCAGATCGCACTACCTGCCCATGCCATTCGCGGTGATCAGTTACAACGCTTACGCTGTTATGGTGGACATATCGCGAATCGTGGGTGGCACACGACGCGACACCACTTGCCACCTACGCCACGCCCACCAACACGGAAAAAGAAATCACACGCTCAATCAAGGAAACACCGGTTGAACCCACGCAATCAATAGCGAACAAGCAGACGCTGCAGTGGCACATCAGTTCCGTCACTTCCGCCAGGCAAAAATCAACGTCACACACACAGTGTTGCCATTAATTCTGGCAAGACAGGTGAAAGTTTGTGGACAAGCTTTGAAATTCATTTGAAAAGAATCTGCGAAACTCTCCAGCCTGCGATTTGGCATGAATGACGCAGATGTGCAAGTGACGTAACCAGCGACACTTCTTACTAAAGGAATTGTATACTTGGTGTTTAGAAATTCCTTTTGATGATTGAGAGTACTTTGAACTCTACCATAGAGTTCCAAGTAGAGAAGAAAGTTGTCCCAGTTTAATCGTATGAAACGGGGTACTGACGAAGTGTGTATTCACATGCCCCTGAAGCAGGGAATCCAGCTGGAGGTGAAATCAGAGTCAGCACTTTGAGAATTTACCGTTAAACAACATTGGTTTCAGCAACGGAAGTGGCGCACGTTACCTCTATTTGTTGTTTTTGAATGGGCAGTCTTCACAGTGCACAGGAATTGTTTTATGAAACCATCATGCGGCCGTACGAAAGAAGCACCGAGCTATATTTTCAGATTTTGAATATAGGATATCACACTTACTGCAGCCTAAATTACGACACCTGATAGCTGCGAATATGCGACATGTGCCTCGTACGAAGTATCGTGAACTGCTCTTACTTAGGCGTGGAAGACTTATAGTGTTCGGCGTAATCTAGTTCGGTGTTGTATATGCGAAGAAGCTTATGGCGGAGTACAATCCGGTGTGCACGCCCACACTCACTGCGCATGCGCAACAGCTGGCCCAAGCACTGCCAGAACGCGCTCACGCGCTACCGCATTCCGGTCTGTGTAAAAGGCTGGGTAAGACTTTGTGGCATCTCTCCCTTACACTCTCTCAGCAATAATGTTATGGCGTCGGCGAACAAGATTTCGTAGACGAGCGATGAACCAACTCAGTGTATCCTAGCAAGAATGCACTGGCACGCGGTAGCGCGTTCGGGCCTGTGTAAGTGGCTGTGTAAAAGGCGTGGTGACCAAACTTTGAACTTCGAACTTTATTTTCCAACACAAAAATGCTCAGGTGCTCCCAGGCAAAAAAGCTATAAAAAATTCCCCCGCGTCTCCTAAGGAAATCGTGAGGAAATGCGAATACATTTCTTGCGCCGAGAGAGCGTACCGTTGCCATCAGACATTCGCCTTCACTGACTTCTGCCACAACCTTGAGTGGCACCCAGCCAGCGAACGGTCGAGGGCGGTGGTAGTAGTAGTTAGAAGAAGAAGAAGAAGAAGGCGCCTAATTTTTGCAGCTTGGTAGGGAGCATGGCGCAGAGCCGGCGGGAATTGGGGATGGAAAAAAAGTGGATAGAAGAGAGTGGGGCGCATGAAGGAGAGAGAGCGAACGGTGAAAGAAGGAGCGGCGAAGCACTGCACCTACCCTCTTCTACACTCTCTCGCACCACATGCCCTGGTTACTAGGGGAGAGGACAAGCTCACTTGCCCACAGTTGTTGCTATGGGAGAGGGTGTGAGAGTGGCGAGATAAAACCTGCCGGCGTGTGGAGCACGTCGTGGACAACGCTGGTTGCCTGACATAGCCCGACTAAGAAATACATTCGCATTTAGAACAACTTGAAGGGACCTGAGGGGCCTTACAGGGAGCAATGAATAAATAGTCACATTAAAAGCGATATTAATGACACAATAATCGCACATTGAAGCATCTGCCTGTCTGTCTGACGTAACTTTGTCCGCAGGTCAGACAGACAGGCACATGGCTCCATGTGGGATTACTTGAACACAACCAGAAAGTAAAAAAGGGGCTCTGATGGTTGCCTGGCTGCTTCTTGCGCAGGAATGCGAATGCTTGCCGGTATTTGATAAAACACCTGTCTTGGCTACTCACCCTAACAGCCGTATTAGGCTCATCATTGAAGTGGCGGCGATAGCAAATCGAAGCTGCGTCAGCAAGCCATTCATTGCACTAACAAAAAAAGCTAGATTACTTGAATTTACCCGCACATGATTTTTCTATGTAAAATTGGCTTCTGCTTAGTTTTATTCTGTCTTCATCTTTGTGCGTTGATTGATATGATTGTGATGTGATGTGACAGGTATGTACTCTCGGTACTTCGCTATAAAATTTTAGTTGGTTTGTTGGTTGGTTCCTCAACACCTTGGCGCAATCCACCTATGGTGATAGGCCATGAATGGGACAGTGCCTTGCTTTTAAATTAATTCACTCCTTTAAAGGAAGGGTTGGATTAATTAGGTAATACAGGTAATATTTTCAAGGTGTTATATTTCTAAACTAACAAAAGAAACATTGAAAAAGAAAACATAATGATCACACAAAAAAGAAAAAAAATCTACACATAAAACAACTAAATTTATCTATGTTTAGCATTACATGCTTTTAAATTCTCGTAGGAAATTTGTAACAGCGGTAAAAACGCTCCTGTGACTGAAACCAAATGCGACTACGCCAAATGAAAGAATCACCAAAAGTGTCAAGTTTAATTCCAACTTTCGAAGGGGTTCTTCTAGTAGTCTTTTCCTTTGACTTTTGAATTTTTGGCATGACAAAAAGTGCTCCAACGATTCAATCTCATTACAACAAAGGCACAAAGGCAACTGTGCCAGAGGCAACCTGTGAAGGTAAAAGTTCTATGAAGGGACTCGACAACGCAGCCTTGTAATTACTATTTGTTCCTTTCTTGATGAACACCACTTCTTCTTCCAAGGGAACTTTATCTGTAGATAGTCAGATAAAAACAAAGGAAATTTTTCGAAGTTATTGGCCATTGTGCGTTTTTCAAAGCGTGCTGCTTTGATATATTCCGAAGTTTGGAAGCTAGCGCTTGTCCTCGTTGTCATCTTCGTCCGTTGTCTACCTTTATTGCGCCCCAGTTGTCAAAAACAGAGAAAAAAAAGACTTTTTTGTGCTTTCTTTTTTCTTCTCTTCTTGCCCTTTTTTTTACTCTGTTTTTCACGCTGTTACCATGTCGAAAATCGAATGATGTTCTCAGGATTCTTGAGAGAGAGAATATATTCAGCTGGTGCAACAAAATAACATTCGGAGCTCCTGTAGAGAAAGAGACATCATGCGACTCGGTAATTCATGGCTGGTCAATCTTGGATTTGTGTATTTAAGGTAATCTGAGATAATCTTTGGGTGTGTAACACAGAGGTAAGACATTGTCGCATGAAGACATTGGGGATGTCGGAAATGAAGTTTGTGCGCGATTCGCAAAATTCGAATGGTCGGGGCAAAGACATTATGATGAGAAATGAACCAATGTATCGAGGCATACAAATTGAAAATATCGCAGTGGGTAGGCTTATTATTTTAGTATCTTATTTCTGTATCTCACATACCTAACTTATCTCTGAATTATATCTCGATACATTGGCCACGTATATTTGTGAGCTCTGCATAAATTAAATGTATTTTGTCCGGCTGTATCATGACACTTTAAGAAACCTGTGCTCACAACAGACCAATCATCATCACGTGACACGATGGTTACGTCACAAACTGGCGCGAAAGTCGCCCTAGATCAATGTTGCCAGAACGCGAGTGCTCACGTGAAGTCTACGGTGTTCACTTTATTAAACAATGCGCTTTGTTGATCACGTGGTACAGTGTATTAAGATGTAAGGGAGTAAAAAAATGACACAAACGAGTAAATGCCGGGGTGCATCGGTAGTTCATTGTTAACTTAAAAGAGTTACAGATGGGCAACAAGACAGAAGGAAGTAACAACACAAGGCGTTTGCGTTGTCGCCATCCTATATCTTGAAAGCTAGTTCTCGTTCTTTAGCACTGCTCCGTTTGATAAAAAATTATTAGGTTATCGCCTTCGGCTAGCCATGAAGACATAACATGTTTATCCTGCCTACATTTCTGCGCTTAATAACGCTGGCGCCATCTGTGAAGTCTTTTCGTAATCGCACGCGAATCGCGCGCGGCCTGCCGGTTCCGGTCCGGCGCGGCTGTTTCGAGCCGGTCGTTCGTTTCGCCGGCAATCACGTGTTGCCTCCTGAGCTCGAGGTGGCGGCGTCCCCATCGTTCGAGGTCCCCCACCCTGGAAGCCCGCGAGAGGAGAATATAATTTTTCTTTTCCCGCGCGACAGATGTTGCGCGCCGCGCGGAGGGAGGAGTTGCACGGCACGCCACTCTCCACGACAACGCGTGTATGCGTAGTGGCCCGCGGCGGCGCAAAGCGTATCGTAACCGGCCGCGCACTTCTCTCAGTGCTCAAGAAGTGAGCACTGGACGACGACGCCGGATACGCACTTTGCGTGTCGATAACAGCTCGTGCGCGTCGTTGTCGCTCCACGGTGGTCTCCGTCGACGACACCAACGCTCTCAGGCGGCTGTTCTCTCTCCTCGCCGTCTTCTCCGGAACTTCGGGGGGGAACGACGTCGCCGACTTCCGTGCGACCGGACTCCTTCGCAAGCCGATCCTCTGGCTGCGCACGACTCCGAAGTCCACGCCGCGGTGGATACCTTCTTCGAGCCGAGGCTTGGTGTTGCTTTTTTTTTTCTCAGCGCCACTTTTGTTTTCGGAGCATCGTCGACTACCCTTCGAGCGTCCTGTCCTGTTACTGGAGTTGACGTCGATAATACTCCAGTTTAAGGGAGTAAAAAAAAGCGTCGCCGTGGTTTGACCTGGAAGGTGAGTTTACAAGCGTCTTACCTCTTTGACAGAACTAGAAAGGAAGCTTGATGGCTTGTTTTCTTCTTTGGACACGATAATAATGACAACCAACATTCAAAGCATAAGAAAAGTATGGGGAAGTTATTTGTGAGAATTGTGGCATAAATGTAAAAAGAAAAAAAAATGAGTGGACGAAAGACAGCTTACTGGTGACTGGGACCATGGCCGGAGTCTTCGAGTAGCGCGTTCGATGCTCTCAATTTTCCCCGGCTTCATTGTCTGTTGGTTTTCGGTAATGTTACTCTTTGACAGCCTTACGTGGGAATTCGCAACCAATGGCTGTGTTTGGGAAAATGTATGTGGTTTCTCTAAGCGACGCTGGCGTAGCTTTTGGCCCCTAAAGCGGCTTCTTGCACTTATGACCTTTTGAAATTGTTTTTCTTGACAATCGAGAAGCCAAGTGACATAGCTCAAGTGGTTGCGTCGCGGCAAGACGTTGATGTTAATGCGGTTTGTGGTGACGAGTCGGTGAACTTTTCTGGCCATTAGGAAGAAACTAAAGTGACCAATCAGTGCACTCTACAAAGCTTGCCTGTTCCCTGAGAACCGAAACATTGCATCATGCTCGCCTCAGGAAGAGGCTGTAACTACAACTAGCAGTGCCCCTTAGCTCCAGTGAAGGAAGGGCAGTACTATTTTAAAATACAGATATCGACGTACAGCGTTGGGTGCTCAAAGGGAATGCGTGATCTAACAATGACACGTGCGTCATACTGCAAGGATATCAGATTTACATATAGAGCCGCAAAGTGATATTACTTTTTTTTCGTTAAATCGTCGTCAAGCAGATTAAGTCAGCTGTTGTTGACTTAATCCAACGTGTATATTGCATTGCCATAGTGTATATTGCACAATGTGCTTTTAAGAAACAAAATAGTGAACATGCAGGTAAATGAATCATCTGACAGTAACAAAATGACAGGAGCATATTCAGCGTACCGATCTTGTAGTTGGCTTTTTCTAAGCGATCAAATGAACATCGACCATTCAGGCCTATCACTCTAAATTTGAAAAAAAAAACGCGAAAGCTTTTCATTTGACTTTGGTTTAAGGAGGCGTGATGTTTTGTGAGAGTAAACTGAAAAGTCAGATTTCGTATCATGGTTTCTATTGAACACTAGAGACAAATGAACGCTTGGTTTTCAACGTGAATTATCTCCCGTGCCTTTACATTACATCTCTTTCTTTTTTTGTTTTCATTCACGCAGTTCACGGAATTTTTTCTCGTAACTGGCGAATCAAAGTTCTTAACGAGTGAACGAGCATGCAGTTTTAAATATTTCACACGCGTGACACGCATTACGATCGACAGTTTTATAACCGCGAAAAATTTACATGAATGTATGCCGAGGTTTAGACTTGACTTTACGCGAGTGCGAGTGTCATGAATTAATTATGTCGTATAATATAACAATTATTTTCAAGTTAGCGCGTTATTGTTTATCTAATAATCGTTCTCTCAGTAATACCATGCTACTTCATAAAACTTTGACTCCGACGACCCACTCAAACCACATGCAATAAGTATCTGCCTGTTGCAAGTATTACTGAAAATGTAAACGAAGATTTTTTTGTAGTTATTGCCAAAACGCTCAAACTTCAACGGCTCGTTATACATGGTACTGTATTCTGCAAAGTGATCGCGCGAAGCGAGACATCTCACCCGGAATTGTTATTAAGACAGTCATGGTAAAATTGGTATCTCGTATAACGTAATCTTAGTGTTGATCGTCCCTTTCTAGGCAGTAGTGCACGGAAATGGTATAAGTCGCGTCTACAAGCGAGGACGACGTGTCGTAAAAGAATACAAAAAAGGTCAACTTGTTCGTCACTGCACTGCTTACTATGCTGTCCGCAGACAGGCGCACATTTTATAATTGGCTTCTCATTTCGTTCTCCGTCGCTTTCTTCTTGTTCGAGAAGGTGGAAGTCGATACGCTTTTAAAAGTTTATGTTAAAGGCCCTTACGGCAGGTTATTTCTATGCGCACAAACTGCACTGGTTGTGACGAGCACAAATTACACTTTTTGCTTTCGATTCATGAAGAAGTGGAGAAATCGCACACTCGTTGGGCGATATAGCTAAGTGCTAGCTTTTCGTTTTCTTACCTTCAAGACACCTTTAAGGGGTGTTACCTAAAGGGTGCATGTGGAGAAAATATACAGAATGGCAACCACGTGTTCTAATTGCGATACACTTAACGATACACTTTGCACGAATAAAGTCGGGTAGGTAATGGCGGATGCTCTGTGGCAAAGCTCGTTACATTCAGATGATGAGCATGAAAAGGAGGCAGAAAATGTCTCGGTGTAGCTCAGCGGACGGGTGACTTGCAAGCTGTAAGGCATGACCGTGGTGCAATGAAATATGCTAGCTGGCGGGGTGATGAGTCTGGATGGTCACGTGAGCTGTAGAGAGAGAGAAATAAATAAAAGGAGGAGACAGGGAGGTTAACCTAGAATAACTGGTTTGCTACCCTTTACGGTGGTGGGGAAATACCTGTGGAACAGAGCTATACGGTGGCAATGCGAAGACAATAGGTGCACGAGTTGATAAAGATGATTCTTCTTTCAATGATGGCGCACTGACACGATATGAGTATAAGGAGTTTTTCATGAACACGTGAGTTAAAATATGCAAAAGAACTGGTCATGGACCTTCGTTCCTGTGTTTACTACATGCGTTTTGCGTTTGCCCTTAATAAAGAGCGGAAATGCAGAGATCTGCTTAACAAGCCATTACACGCCCTATATGAATTCAAACAATATGCCTATTGGTCAATCTGTCGGCCGGAACTGACGTCATATTTTGAACCTGTGGAAAAGCTTGATCATGCAAGCCTATTTGGGGATGCTTGCCCGTACACTGTTCGTGGCTACCGGCGAACAGTTCTTATGAACTTTTCATGACCTGAACAGATACAAAGGCTCTACAACTTTGCTTTGCCTATACAGGGAATGGGGAAATGGGAGGGAATGAATAGAGAAGGAAAGAGAGGCAAAATAATATGACAGCACGCATAGCAATGCATGTACGGCGCATGCCCAGAAAGTCATAAAAGTGGGAACAGAGTACGGATCGACTTCGACTGTTTTAGATTAGGTGCACTGCAATCCAAGACGTTACCATGACGTTCTACCTCTGACCGACTTCAAAAAACAGGATGGCTCCAGCAGAAAAGAGTGGGCTTTTGTCTAGGGAGACCAGAGTAATATCGATTTGTGGCTCTGTGTGCCAAATCCTAGACTACTTCCGATGTACATCGAGGAAACCGGCTTTCACTTACATAGTTATTCGTCATTTCCATTGGGAATGCTTTCAAACGAAATGAGAACAATAAGAAAATTTTTTGGTAAGCCAGGATACGTTAACGAGTCTGTGATTGTGTCTACTCCAGTTGCTGGCTTCCATCCAGCAGATTATAATGTTATCGTATTTAGCGTACGTTCACTTATATACGGCCGAATCATCGCGTTCTCGCCCAGTGCATTGTTTTCATCCATTTGTGACTGTGGTCTCGTGCGGCATAGGAGGACAAACACCAGTGGTACACATAGCAGTCGTACTGTTGTACCAGCTGTCTGCGCAGTAAATATCGTCCCGACGTGTGTTGGACGTGCTCATGGAATGTAATCGTCGTAGGTTCCTGTTGCATTTACCTGTCTGCACTTTTGGGGAGGCGAATTATTCGTTGAAACTAGTAGTTTCTGCTTAAACATATATGACAGTTATGTGTCATGTTTACTCGTAGCAACAACTGAACCCTGCTATGTTCCAGATAAAATCTCCTTACAGGATGTTGAGGCAAATACAGTCGTGACCAACATGAGATAAAACGCTTAAATCACACTTTAAAGGTGAATGCGGATAAATTCAGTTGGCATGCGCAGAAAATGGGAACACAGAATGCTAATGCAGAAAGGTTTTGCTTCCGCTTTCACCGTATGCTTCTTTCTAACTCGTTTATTTGCCTCTTTGTCTATTATTTCTCTATTGACATGTCACTTCTCTGTCTTTTCCGGCGTGCATATACACTGTGAAAAGTTTTCTGGAGGAACTGCGCAGTTACCCCGAAAAAAGATCTTTGCTCCTCCAAAAGATGAAATAAGCGCAAAAGATTACTCACGCAAAGGCAATGAGGGGCACTTTCCTCATTGTGGAGTAAAAGCGCCCGTTTTTTTTTTTTTCGAGTAGCTGCAGGAATGTTGTGCTGTGTGCAAACGACCCATCGGTGCCTACACAAGCCCGTTTCCCTTCCTACGGGGCCGTAGCGTGGCGTGGTGTGGTGGTTAGTGTACGCGCTTAGTGACTAAGTGGTCGTGAGTTCGAGTCCCCACGTGTAATGCAAACTTTCCGAAATTTATTTCTGAATGTGGTGCCTGCACATTGATTGTATGCCTAATCAAATGCTGGCTCGCACTTCAAAAGGCTGGTTAAGTCAAGCGAAACGAGATTTTTTTTTTTGCGCGAAATAAAGGTTGCTCCTTTGTGGAGTAACCGCGAGAGTGTGGTTACTCCTTCGCAGTTACTCCCAAAATGGTGCAATGGGTGCGGCCGGTTAGCTACTCCTCTGAAAAAGCAACCTCGATACCCCTTTTCTCTTTTACCTTTTAGAGTGCACTTTTGCAAAATACGGTGGCGTGCACTGGTAACTGCAGTGCTAGTTCTATGTCAATTGGTAGTATGCAGTAGTAACTGTCTGTTAGATGTAACACGGAATTATGCGTTGTTGTTGTTGTTATTTTTTTTATAAGTAATGAGACAGCCTTTGGCTTTAGCACCCAAATGTGCGTAAACTTATGGATGTTTAGCACTCACTCAGGCACCTATGTAACTCAACAGGACTTCGAAACGAGTTACGATGTATTCCCCACCACCTTAATTGCCTACCGGAACTGTCTACAGCCCTATTTGGGAACAAAGCTCAGTGTCAGTAGAAGCATTGCAGACGGCGGTGA